CAAGAACATGACATACTACCTGTCTAGAAAAGAGCAAATTCCATTTGTTTGCTAATGGTAGCAATGCCAGTGGGATTGCTACATGGGATTTAAATACCTACTTATTCCTTGCAAACTCAGTTCTGAGGCTGAAATTATATAACATGAGAGTTTAACACCAACATTTCAACTTCTATTTTAATGCAAATATAAAATCCAAGCTTGAGAGCAAGGAGTTAACCAGACTTAAGAGTCTGGGCTTTTTAAAAAACTCACAATGAAATGACATAAAAATATGTGGCATTGATCTAACAGAGGCCATAACATTATTCCCCTTCAGTAAAGATTTTCTGATTCTTTAAGAGTTGAAGTTGAGTTTTGTTTTTGTTTTTAAACTTTCATCTCTAAGAACATTTGAGCTAGCTCCCTGCTTTGGCCCTTACACTTCTTCCAATCCAGTATGGAAGGAGAGAGCTTGGCTACACAGTGCTCTCTCCATTTTTTCCCCTCCCCATGATACAAATTTTGTCGCCATCAATACAAGAGCTGGGCAGACAGGTCATATGAAATTGCACCAAGCTGTTTCTCCATGTTATTTTTAGCCTTGTCTGTCATCTTAGAGAGCTGTGTGTCAGAGACAAGCACACTGCAGAGGACAGTAGTAGCTCTTTAAATAAACTCTGGTCCTGCAAAGACCAGAACAGGCTGTAATTATGCCAGGCAGCACCATTTTCTCTTCCCATCAAAAAGAAGTTTGTGTAGGATGGGGAACTCGGAGTCTTCTGTGGTCTGTGTGGAGGCAAAGCTTGCTGTGGGGACAGAGGGTGTCCCCACAGCTAGAAAGTACAGTGATTAATTCATATCATGTAAGGACATAGTTCCAGAGAGGTCAGCTGTCACATTCAGCACTACTGAAAAACCAAGACCTCTTCTGGCGCCAGGGAAGGATGAGAGCTCAAGGCTCTGACTTTCCTTCTGCTCCGGGGACAGAAGTTCCCAAGTTCCACTGCAGAAGAGTGCAGACAGCTCTCGGCTTTCCTCAGGGTACCTGGAAGCTCACCATTGCTGCAGAGGATTAGTGCCGTCAGCATGGACAGTAGTGGGCAAACTACCTGAATGTCCCAAATTCTCACTCTCAGTGGAAGCTTACTGTATTTCTGCAAGCAACTTCACCCCCTGCTGAAGAAGAGAGCTAGTTTCTGAGCAAGCTGCACAGCCTATTACTTTCACAGCAACTGCTTCAGGCACATCAGGCACTCAGCTGCTTCAGAACTACTCTACAGCCACCCTACAATTACCAACAGGTCTTCCTCACCCCCTATGACCCTGAAGGAAAAAATCCCACTTGTCCCCAAAGCCTTGCTTGTAAACAGCAATGACAGCAAGACCTATACCTAAACCAGAAGTATGTGGACTGGAAGATCTTTGGAAAATCATGTAGGAATGATTTTTGTTTAAAAAAGTCCAAAGGGACACATATCCCTGAAAGAGACACCTGTAATAGAAATAACCAAATACACCCCCTAATCCAGGAGAAATTGTCAGTTAGCTGCAGAGAGCCACAACCCTTTGCAGTTATATACATCAGGGAATATAGAGACAGCAGAGTTGCCTATATGTATTTATCTGGAGGCTACAACGTAAGTGTGAGATTTTAACCCTATGCAATGCAAAGAGAGACCGTGTAATGCACTGAAGGAAGCTGCTATGGTCAGTGTAGAGAAATATCAAAATAAGCAGGTCAAATGATAGAGAGGATCAGTAAAGAGTTACTAATAGGAGATAAATCCATTTGACATTTTTACAGAGCTGCCTGTAAAAAGATGCCTTCTTCGAGGAATATGAAGCTTCTGTTAATAGAAATGCTCACAGCTATATGAAAGGAATACAGATCACAAAACCTGAAGTGTTAGGAAAGGCTTTTTAGTCTGGTATTTACCCTCTCTTTGTAGTAGAAGGAGCTGATGGAGACCTGCTCCTTCTCGCTGCGTGTTGGACTCCCACTGTACAAACGCAGATTGCCTGGAGTTTCTGTGCGGATCTTCATTGGAGTAATGAGGCCACTATGGTATGCTGATAAAGCTGACAGGGACCTGGAAACAAGAGAATACCCTTTAAGGAGCTTTCACCCACCAAACTGCCCTGGAGGCTCACAACATTTCCACGAAGAAGTTGCTAACAGTGTTTCAGGTGTTTTGAAAAGAGTCTCTGCTGAGGGCAGTGCTGTAAGGGATGAGGCTCTCTGTGTTGAGGAAACTGCTAACAGTAGAGGTCAGTAGCTCCAACGTAGGAACCGATCTATTTTCCCACCCATGACAGTAGCACACCTCAAATGGGACACTAGTACTCACCTGGGTGTGGGCTCCATAGGGGACACAGCACGGTGCATGGTCATGGGTCTTGTGAAATATACCAGGTACCCTAAAGAGACAGGATATGGCATAAAGATCACAAAGAGAGGAGAGGATTATCCAGGGGTGGGTTACATGAGGAAACCTTGTCATTTAACATATCAGAGTCAAGGGACGGGGTGCCTATCCATTAGCCTGAGTGCTTTTAAACCTCAAGTAGACAACCACATTTTCTGAACCCAAATGCACTCCCTGCAAAGCACATGTTTTGTTCAGATGATTGTCTTAAAAGCACCATCTCAAGTGGCTTACAGAATGTTAAAGGCAGAAAGAGAAAATGAGCAGGTACATACTCATGTTTTAATTGTTCACCAGAACATGTCAAGCACTGATACTCTAGAGGCAAGTGAATTGATGTTTGGCTATACAGAGAAACCATTGCAGCTTGTACAGCTCTCAACAGCTAACCATAGCCATCTGAAGCCACTCCAGAGCACTTTCTCACAAGCCTTACCCCATTTGTTAGCATCTCAAGTGTCTTCATACACCCACTCCTGCAATAGTTTCAGGACTTTTTCACTGAGCCTATTCAATGCAGTAACACTCTGTCTTTCTGGGAATTCAGTGAGGACTCTGTGAGCTTTCAAAACATGCTCCAACTGGGATGTGGTCAGGTATGAAGGAGGCATGCTTGCATCTGAAACAGCTCAGTGAAATTTAACAGCTCTTACTCAGACCTTAATCTGTTTACAGAATGATCTTTGCATTGTCCACTTTCCTGGAAACCTGGACATGATTGTACACCATCTCCCACTTATGAGAATTTTCCCAAGGACCTCGGGAAAGCTAGTCTGGACAACAGAAAGGATGAAGAGTGAGAAAAGAATGTTAGTTAACAAGACTATGGTTTCAGGAAGAGCTAAGTTCAACTCCAAATCACAAGAATTTGTGAAGACTGAGCACCAGAATATGTCCAGCAATTTGATGTTGGTAGGAGAGAGCTAGGCAAGGAAAACAGCTATTCCCAGTTTCCTGTGAAAGAGTGGTCTGTCAATGCCTCTGGCATACTACAAGCCAAAGGCCATTTCTTCAACTAGTTCTGAATTTCCAAATCCTAAAATCCCACACATGCAATATCAACTGCAAATGGTTGCTATCTAGTCTCATTATCAACAAATTTATCACAACCTCACTACTTCAATACCATTTCTTACTTATTGCATAGCAGTGACCAAAGCCTTGTTTTATTCAGAGGCAAGCCTTCCCCAAAACATTCAAAGGCCCATTCCCCAGGTAAGTGTTGTAACGTATCAGTGATGGGTCTAACCTGCACCACAGAACCTGGCTCCAGAAGTCCGTGGAAATGGGATGTTAGAGTCCTGGTATGAGCCATAGGCATTGGAGACCCGGGCGAATGTGGGCAAGGGGGGTGTTACAGAGTTCGCCAAAGCATAGGGATTGCTGGATGTGCTGTCCTCTTGGTTCTGCAACAGAAGTTACCCAACGTCACACTCTTGCTGCCACAGGAATGAAACATAGCTGGAGCACTGAACATCACAGTGTGGAGCAGCCTCACAGAAGGTGCTCTTTGTTTGAGCCAGAGCAGGTCAAGGACAGAGCATGGTTATTGCTCTGCTGCAAAGACACTTGCAAGCACATTCACCTTTGAGGGAAGGGCTTTTCTGGCTGCTTGTCCAGAGATTTCTCTCCCACCATAGCCATGTTGAAATGCAGAGCTTAACCTGGGCTGAAACAGTGGGAAACTATACAGAAAATCTGATCCTCTCACTGGGTATGACTCTCAAGACAGGGAGCTCAGCTAAACCTGACACCTCAATGATGCGAGACAAAGTCTCCTTAAATAAGAACACCAGACAACTGTAGGGGGTTCAAATGCAGGCTGGGAGTCGAAGTGAGAAAGGCAGGTGGTGTGCAACACTGAGGAACCTCAGGCCTATCCATGAATTTTGGCAGAAATCTGCATTTACTTGGATAAAGAGTACTACAGCTTAGGTGTAAAGGAATTCTCCAAAGGCAGTGACACCTGGCTTGAGTCATCAGATTTCCATACAATGGAGAAAGTTCCCACTCGTACAACATCACTGCTGACACCAAACAGAATTAAGCCTCTTCTTGTTAAAAAAAAAAAAAAATACAAAAAATTAGAAAAGTCCTTCATTTGTGATGAATAAACAAAACCTCTTGGAAAAGAAACCTGAGGAGCCTCTCCAATCTTTTCCTGAATGCTGAAAACACCCACCCTCATACACTTCACCCCCACACAGACCTAATACCTGACACTGGGATGCTGAGTAGGTATCACAGATCATTCAGCTATGAGCAGAGTGTGACTTGGGTTTATCTGCAGTATCATCCTTACAAAACTTCAGCACAAGGCTTCAGAAAAGACTTTCACAGATTATTTTTTTTAAGGGATTAAACAAAGACCCTAGAATAGGACTAGCAGGATATGTGACTAGGATACAAGGAGGAGAAGACATCTGCCACTGCCTTCCAGACAAGAATGGATCCATCAGCTTGCCGAGGCCCCTTCTCTCACAGATGATAACCATGCCCTGGCACTCAGTTTGATACACCGCGAGCTGGTAAACTACCATGCACCACTCAGGTGCTCCAACCCCCAGTCAAAGTGAGCATGCAGAGTTCTCCAAAGCAGCAAATCTTCAGGGTCTGATTTTCAGAAACAAAACACATCTAATGATCTGTTTTCTTCAACACAACCAGAAGTGCCTACACAAACGTAATGGCCAGTCACAGAGGTCTATTTACATGTCTAATGTGGCTGGACATTCACTACAGAGTCAGAAGTGTGGATGTGGGAGAAGACAACAAACTAGGGCAGAAAGCCACACAGTTCTTCATACCACAACAGACTCCAGCCAGGAGACCAGTTGACGCAGGCAGGGCTCCAGGCAACTCTGGTTCCGCTTCACTTTCTGCAGAGAAGTGTCTTTCAGTATCTGGAATAAACACAAGATGCAGCTTGAATCATGGTTATATCAATGCTTTTCCAACATTCTTTTTTTTTTGCACAGTAGCTAAGATGCCATAGACATCCCCTAACAAAACTGATGTGCTGTCTATTTGAGAAATCACTGTGAACTTTGATCAGAGCACTGAGGCTTCATCTAGATTCAGTACATTCTGAGACAGGATTTAGGCTTCTATACTATTGTAGCTCACATGTTCCACACCAGTTTGTGGCAAACTGGATGAGGGTTTGTTTCTTTTTCAGGAAAGAACACAAACTGATCCATCAGCTTGCTGCTGGGGAAGGAACTTCATCAGCAGTAGGACTTCCTACACCACATGATCAAATACCTGGTCTGGAATTAGCTGAGGCTGTATAAAATTCCCTTAATTTTTAAAACAGTTTGTGAAGGACAGCAGGAAGCAACATCCCAGCTCAAAAAAATGATCTTTCTGCAATTGGATGCTTAGCTGGTCATGTTGTCTATTATGGGGTTGGGGTTAACTGTGTGAAGAGAAGTATCTTAGGGATCCTCAGGCAACAGCAATACACATCACACCAGACTAGAGCAGCAGTGAGGAACATGTGTTTAAAATGCTCTCCTGGAAAAAGGCAAATACCGGGCTGCAAGGCCAACAAAACCCTCACCTTAAGACCTCCACAAAGTATCAGTTCAAAGATGTATGTCTTCAGCAAGGTCAGATGTTTTATTGTGCCAGTAATCTAGGCATCAAGTATCCAGCATTTGTAAATGTATAAAGAATTGTATACTACCCACTCACCTTCAGCAGCTTTGCTTTCATGGAGGCAGTGATTGAAGTTGGGTTGATGAACTGGAAGGATGGTGCAGCATTATTGGGATACTGGACAGGGAACATCACCAGCATCCTGACTCTGTGGTTGCCGCAGTGCACTGACACCGTACAGCTACGACTCACTGCATCCATCTGTGAGGAAAAGCAATTGCTCTATAGTTAGATCTCCAAGGACTTTTAGAGTGGCTGAAATTCATGCTGAGGGGCTGATTCCTCTGCACACCCGTAAGAGAAGTCATGCTGTTCTCAAGGGCAGTGAACACAGTGACAGCAAAAAACCCCAGGCAGATGGGGACAGGATTGGCTCGCATCAGCAGACTGCCAGTCTAACATCCCAGCATCTGGAGACCACAGGAAATCAGGCTCGGCTCCCAGTAGCCACTGCACCCCAGCCAACTTAACTTGGCCATGGAGAGCTCCAGCCCCAGTGCAGCAGTAATTGGCACCACCTAAGATCATATACCAGGGTCCTGGAAAACTACGTCAGGAGCTGCGAAACCACAGCGGTGGGAAAAGGAGACAGGCAGCTCCCTCAAGCCTCCTATGCCAGTACAGTGCTGTGCCTCCAAGCCACCTTCCACACAGAGAGAAGGGTTTTGTGTGCAAGGGAGATGCCAAAACTGAGGGAGAGGCACAGGACGGAGATAGCTCAGCCCATCAGGCATGAAGTAGAAGAAGTCACTTTCCACTCTGTGGTCTAGACAAGAGAGCAAAGCACTGTCCAGCCTTCTTGGGAGCAGCCAGTGTACTCATCATGCTGAAACACTTCCCTCACTCCCAGTGTTTGGAATTAGCTTCTTTCCTACTACCCCTGGCCAAGAGGATCTCTATAGTTCAAAATAAACCTTGTTTACAGACAGCAGTCACTGCAGCAAAGAAGGTTCCCCTCTAAAGGTTCCAATAAGCCAGCCTGCCCATATCCCCTTCCAAACAAGCCAGGAAAAGGAAACACTCTACCTCCACATTGACATTTCGGATTTGGACGTTGATTAGCGAGAACTCCTGCTGCAGTGTTTGGGGCAGCCCCAGTTGATCTGTTTTCTTTCCCACCAGTGGGTCACTCAGGAAATCTTCTTTTAAGGCTGACCGGAGAGATGGAGAACAGGTTGAGACAAGTTATAACGGACAGACTTTTGGCACGTGATGATAGGACAGCAGGCCTTCCTCTGCTCTTCTGACACATGGACGTATGAGTTTTACCTGGCAAAGACCTGGAAGGTCTGAGCTGTTGTTTAGAAGCAAGCTTCTGAGCCTTGCCCCTCAAAAAAACCAAACCTGTCCGCACACAAGTTTCCCAGGAAGGTTACAGAAGTTGCCCGTATTCTGTACAGTGGGAAAGAACTGCTGCCAAAGCAATCTCCAGGAGGAGCTCTGGTCTTTGGGACTCACACCCCACCAACTCTTGGCTTCCAGGGAATGCTTCCAAAGCATGATAACGCTTTGGAGAGAAAAGAGAGTATTTCTGGCCCCAGTAGAGGCTTAATTAATTTGTAGCAGCTATTTGCATTTAATGTTGCAAAGCACTCCAGTGCTTTAACAGATTCTAAAGCCCATCTAAACACTGGGTCTAGCGTCCAATTCCAACAGTTTTCAGAGGACAATAAACCCTGAAGGCCAGAACACATTTAGACAGCCAGGCAAGTTCTGCAGGACACAAGGAATTATGATTAAAATGGCAAATTTGACTGAGTTTCAGGAGAACTGGTCTCTGCCTGTGGTGGTACCTGGCTTTTGCCTAGTATCTTGCTATGTATCCCCATTAGGGCAAGGGCAGCTCCTTCTGAAGAGTGTTTTGCTGTGGCACCACTTCCTAAGACAACAAAAGAAGTACTTTTTGATGATGGTTCCAAGGACACAAGGGAAGTCTCAATTATTCAGCTGTCATTCTCATGTTTGCTATATCATATTGCACAGACTATTCCTAGCAAAAAAATAAATGACAAGAAATGCAAAAAGCTGCCCTTTTACAGATATTTGCCTAAAATTTACTGACTTTACTGCAGGGATAAATAAATTTGGTTTTACTGCTGCCCAGTGGGCTGCTGAATTTGGATAGGTAGGATGTTAAGCTACCCATTCCTGTTTGCAATTTTATTATAGTGCTTAGATATACTTCACAAAAGAGAGCTGAAAAGGGGATTAAAGGAAGATCAGTGGCTCTCAGGGAAAATAATTATTTCTAGTTCAAGACAGCACACAGCTTACTGAAAAGGTGTCTCTGAGGTTCCCGATATGGGCAGTACCCTGCCTTTGTCTTATCCTCCCATTTCCTTCAAATTAGTTTCTAATCCCCTAAAGCCCACATATTTGCCTAGATTCCTGAAGAACCTTTACAGGCAGCAGCCAGTGAGGAGAACTGTGCACTGAAGACACAGCTGGCCAGCTTTCTGATTTATCTGCAGAGCATTGCCTTCTTCAAAGATCCCCCAAAATGCTTTACTAATATAGCATGGAGAAACTATCTGAAACTGAAACACAGCTACCTCCAGGGTGAAACATCAATGCTGCACAACAGCTTTTAGGCTAGAAAGAACTGAAATTTCTCCTTCGGGTCTTACCTGGGCATTAATCCTGCAGTCACGGTATTTGCAGCAAAATCTACCCTGCTAAAGAAAAGCCATTTTCATTCCCCTTCGCTTCAAGGGAAACCCTACCAGGCAACCAAAGGGAACCAAAGCCAGACCCACACAGAAACCACAGAGGACAGATGAACACAACCTCATCAGGGACAGTAAAGAGTTAACTCTCTCCCATGCAAAAAGAGAGGTCAGGCAGCCCTGAGAACACATAATGCTCCCAGTGGGAGCAAGAGAGTCTGTGCTTCCCCACACAGCATTGCGCAGGGAGAGCACAGGTAGCCAGAGGTTTTTCTATCATATTGTAAAATGTAGGCAGAGGTGCTGATTTAGAAACCCTCATGTAGGCAGAGGATCTGATAACTTTTAGAAACTTGTTCTGCTGCCTGGCAGAAAGGAACTTCACTGGTATTTTCTGGACAGGAATCTTTCAGTTAGTAAGAGATGCCTTCCCTAAGGGACCTCACAGCTGTCTCCTTTATTCAAAGGACAGATACTAGATCACTTCCTTTCTCTCCAGTTGGTTGGCATGTCAAAGGGAGAATCAAATTGCTTTCCTGTAAGCCACTCATATGTGGATTCATTGTAGCACCCTTATACAACACAGAAAGGAACCTGGAATTTAAACCCAAGCTAACACAAAGGCATGGAAGCACCCAGTTCTTCTTCCTCAGTATTAGACATAGAACACTCTTTAGATATCTTTTGCACATGCACATCATCACCATAGGTCTCAGCTGCTGCAACCTCTTCTATTCTAACACTTACAGTCTTTAAACACTAACTCCCTGAATGTTTAACCTGGCCAGAGCCTTAACCTCACAAATCCTCCTTCACATTCCTTCTTTGTATGCCTTCTCTTCCATGAAGCCAAATCAATGCTTTCTGTTAAAGCCTCTGACCCACTCCCATCTGCCCATCTGGTACTCAGAAGTCGGAGACAGTATTGCTCCCTCTCTGCTCTGCCAGCCCTCAGTCACCTCTCATCAATACATGAACAAAACTTCACAAGCTCTCTCCATGCTAATTCTGGTGGATGGGAGAAGATACGAGCAAACATCTCCATGTTAGATCAGTTCACACAGTGTCCCCAGCAGAAGTGTTTAGATATCAGGTGTGATGTAAGCAGCTTGTGTCTGAATGCCATACCCATACACTTCCTTCTTCTGTGGGCTCATCTCTCAGTTTAAACTAATCTACCTTCTTGAAAGTCAGAATTAATTTCCTATTGCCGTATTTTCGGCAGCAAGCCACAACTATGAACAAAAGAGAATGCAACTAAATTGTATTAATTACAAGGAAGAGCTTCATTTTACAGCTAGAATCACTGTGGTAGAGGAGAAAAAACTTGGGAAGACCATCCTGAGACACTCCTAGTGTTTTGCCTCTTCCCACATGGGGAATCCATCAGCCTTTGGAACAGTAGCAGTTTCTGCTTTGCCTATGATGCTATTTTCTTATGCCAAGATGCATCTTCTTCCCAACGCAAAGACAAGTGGTGTTTGAAGTTCCACAACCCATCGCTTGTCTCACCTTCCTCATCCCCATGTCCAGAGTTATGCTGAGGCTCCGAGTCCTGGGGGTGAAGGGTCTTGTCTGGCTCTGGCAGATGGGAAATCCCATCGATGAGGTCCTCGACTCCATCCAGGATATCATTAGCACACAGCTGAAAAAAATGAACACACGTGCTGCACAACAGAAACCAGGCTGTGGAAAGAGCCACCACTAAACAACTAATTTCTTCAGGGAGCAGGATTTGCAAGGAAGGTCTATCCATGCCACAGTCATGACTAAGACCTCACCATTGTTTCTGCAACAAAGATAGGTGATCTTCTACTTTCCAGTATCCTCAGCTCTGTCACCTCAGACAGCCTGGCCAAATCTCCTGCTCACTTACAAAGCCTCTTAATTGACAGAGTCAGTCTAAGTAACATGTTTTACTTTAATCAAAATGAAAGCTGGTATGACTTTAATACCTTGAATTAATTTGTTAGAATTGGTTTAATTTCTTTGATCAGATATAACAGCAGCACACTTTCTGCTTTTGATATTTACACTCCAGCAGGATGTACAGACCCAGGTACATGCTAGGGACCTTAGTGTTCTAGGTCCTGTATCAAGAGAGACCATGAAAACTTGTGTTTTAAGTTCAGCACAGGAAAACAGGGCAGATGAAGAGACGAAACATAGGGAGGAGAAAGAATAAGGGTATGCAATGTAGCAAATTACACCATTGGTTACCAGCAACATGCTATCATGTGTGCTGTTTGATCCAGACAAAGACAAGGACAAGAGTGGAGTGGGAGCCAGCGGAGGAAGAACAAAGGCTCTGACACGGATAAACAATTGATTTAAAGAACAGAAAGAAATCAAATGTTCACAAATGTACCAGGTAGGAGTAAAGGGTCATTTTTCACAAGAAAGTTTGTTACAGACCTGCAGGAGTCCTGCAGGATCTGTGCTGGGACACATGCTTCTCAACATATTCATTAAAAACCTGGAACAGGAGGTGAATAGCAACATGACCAGGTTTGCTAATGCCACCAAGTTTTTTAGGGTAGTAAGAGTGGCTGACTGCAAACAATCACAGAAGGACCTTAGAGGAGTAACTGTGTTAAAATAAAAGATGAACTTCAGTTCACATAAATACAAAGCAACACACACAGGGTTACAAAATGGCAAGTTCAAGCTAACTGAGGGAACAAAATGCAGAGGCCAGACTAAGCTGATGTTTTCATAGAATTATGCCTAACAATTTACAAAAACACAGTACTGAGAATTCTTTGGAAAGGCGAAAGATCATATCCCCGGCCCAAATATTAGAGCTGAAAAAGGGTCACGAAAGGCTAAAGGACAAACATCTTGCATAAAGGATGAAGTAAATCAAGACCTTCTATCTTGAAAAAGAAGGCGGCTGAGCAGGGATATCAAGGATATGTATGGAATCATTAGTAGCATGTACAAGATGGCTGATCATTCCATCTTCAAGGTAATGAAGCTATCAGGTTGCAAAATAAACAAATGAAAGGAGTTGGTTTTCCACACAACATGCATGAGAAGCCATGAAACTCCTTGTTGATAGGATGTTTAGGTCCGAGAAAAAACAGAACAAGTCAATGGAAGTGAAACTCATCAAGCTCTGTCAAGTACAAAGATGCCAGACTCAATGAGCCTTCAAGCTGCAAATTGCAGGGGGCTGGCAGGACATTTGAGAGAATCATCACTCCATACTTACCTTGTTCTTATCCCCTACCAAGCATCCACAGCTGAAGATGAAACAGGGCAATACGAACCATATAAATCTCTGGTCTGACCCAGCATGGCTGTTCTAGTAACTGCATCAGCAACTTTTAACTGCTGCCAGACAGCAGAATAACAGGATTCACACTGCCAGCACCAGGCTAAGAGGCAACGGAAACAAGGGGAGGAAGTGCAGGGCACAATCCCTACATTTACCTGGAACCTAAAATGCCAAGAGTCATACAGTCTTGCAGCCATGGAGATGGCATCTTCAGAAGCAGTGCAGACAGTAACCTATCTCCACCTTCCCCAAAAGACTTGTACACTTGCTGTTACACCACAAAACAGACTTGCACTTCCATGGAAGCTTCTGAGGTGCAGAGAAGCCTCACCACAAGCCTCCTGAGGGATGCTTCTGAGCTGAAGAGGAAAGTGAAGCAGCAGCTGGCTGACATGTCTGCAGCTCTAGAATATCAGAGGAGTGACTGAGAGTACATGAAAGGGAGGTGAAAGCAGCCTGTAAGAAACCTGTCTACAGTTCAAGAGAAGTGTTTACGTACCCTCTGCAGCTGAGAGTCAATCCGCCACATACGCAGAGTCTGATCACGGGACCACGTAACCAGCTGGTAGTCTTTAGAACCTACAAAGGATAGAAACAATTTACAGACCTGGCTCAAAACAGAGACTGTCTCAGCCCTGTGTTTGGCGTAAACAGATTCAAGCAAGCCAGCAGGAAGATCCAATGGGTAAGGCACTAAACCAAAAGGCAAAGCGAGTCCTTTTCTGCTTTGAACTGACCTAAGTGCATCAGCCTTTATGTTCCCCTGCACCAGTTACCACACCTCTAAATGGAGTATAACTTACAGGCAAAACCCACAAAGTATAATGAACGTGATGCAAGTTTTCCAACTAAGAATGCACAAGAGCCACTACAATACTTATTTAAATAGAAGAAATAATATAGTTGAGAAACAGATTTGTTTTTACAACTGTAAAGTCAAATTATCTTCATCCTATCTGTTTCTAGATGCCAATGTTTTAAAACATTTCTAAGCTAAGAGAAGCTTGTTGTACTCTCCCCCTTCTTCCTTCTGAAAGACTTGGCCAATGCCATGACAAGTTCAGGTTGTAATGAAATACATCTAGGTACATAATATCTATCAACACATAAAAGTACACAGACTTATTTATGCCCAGGTTTAGGCCTTGTGATACGGTTTACGTTTCCGTTGTCAAACAGCTGCTATACTGAAGAATTTGCTGCTGCACAGCTGCTTCCCACACCCCTCTTCTGAGACACAGGGGCTGTCTAAATAGAGCACAGCAGGCTCCATGGAAGCAGAACTGTACTATCTTGGTTGTCTTCGCGTTGAAGCAGACTTGGAATGCTTGCATGATTAAGCTATGCTGCTTAAGATGACTTAGAGCCTCAGATACGTAGCTACTAACTCAGCTGAGACACACAGCTGTGGTTCAAGCCTGCTTGAATGTTCATTCACAAGCTGGCTTAGACTGCACCTCCAGATCCTAACATGGATCTGTATCACTCCTCTCTTTTTGAAAGAGGAAAAGCAAGGTATAGACAACAAGGTGACTTACCTGAATTGGCCCAACAGCTGGTGGCAGAGGTCTGGACGCTGCAAAGCCATACCACAAGTAACACCAAAGACAGCTGTGCATGTTCTGTCAATGGCAGCTGAGGGGCTGGGAACAAAGCTGCACCCTGTGTGGTTATCCAACCTCTAATATGGAATCCCCTATATTTAGCTGCCTACACTGGAAAATGTAGTCAGGACTGAACTCTGACAGCAGCCTCTCTATCCTACACTTCCTCCCCTGCCTTTGCCAACACACAGGTAAGGTGCATTCGCTGGGTCTCTGGTCTGGGATATGATGGAGGCTGCTGATCCAGGCAGTGACTGAAGGGTTAACTGGTTAGCCTGGAGCTCTGAGTGGGGTGCGTGCACCCATCTAACAGTTTGTACAATTTATTCTAAAAGATACATTTAAAAATAGACACAGGAGAGTGGAAGCAATTAAGAGTCACTGCTGACCCACTCAGCATTTGGTAATTTACTTTGTTAGCATGGCAACAACAGGGCAATGCTTCTGTGGGTGCTGCTATAAAACAAGCACAAAACAGCTGAAGCTTGAGGAGGGGCAGGAAAGTGGGCAGGAGCTACTCCCAGGAAATGCAAGAGCCAAACAGTGATAGCATAAGCACTAAAGCCAGGAGACAGGTCTCACCACCCCTGGTTAGCTGATGGCCACAGCGCAGGGGAGAGAGCACTTCCAGCCTTGAACTCACCTTCTTTCTGCTTCCTCCACTGAAATTCCAGCACCACATCATCATGTCCCACAAAGGTGTGGACAGGTGTGTTCAAGTCGAAGACATTCCACAGAAGGAGACTGTTCTCCCGGCGGAGCTGGGGGACCATCACTGTCACCAGCCCATTGCTGAAAGGCTTGAGAGAGAAACACCCTTCCAGTTAGCCTTGGGGAGCCACGCTGCTGTTATCATACTCTAATTTTTCCCTCTTCCTATCAACAAGGATATGTGGGTTTTAAAGAAGTTCAGCCCAAAACAGAACCCGGCCTAAAACTGGGAGGGTTGAAAGCAAATGTTGTGCAAAACCATTGCCTTAAAAGGTAAAAGGTGAAACAGACTGAGATATTCAATGCAGCTCATTTAAGATTAATAATTTACTTCTGCTGCTTCCTCACTTTTTAGCTAGGAGGGTGGAGGGGTTTCAGCATTGACTTGTCACAGGGGATCCTTCCTGCAATTTGGCTGGAGCTGCAAGAACTGCTACCTGGGGACTGACTCCCAGCAGATGCTCAGACTGGAACCCAGTCTTGCACCCATCACCATGGGGATGGGAAAAGAGGATCAAAGATTCAAGGCACAGCACTGTCTTCAGACCACATTCAGATGTCTGGGGAAGAGAACAGAGATGACAGATGTCAAGAGCTTTAGCTTCACACAGCTGGGTGCTTGCTTTGTAAATGGCAACAGTTCTTGGATTTGGTATGCTGTAAGATCCCACTGCGGCACACTTGGAAACCTTGGGAGTAGAGGAAGTGCTCAAGAGAGGGCAGACCACAGCTGCATTGCTCTGTGCAACACGTACCAATACTGAAGCTGAGCAGAAAAACAGGAAAGCGGAAGCAGCAGCCACTTTCTGAGCCTCCTTCTCCCAGAGCCAACCACCTGCACTTGGGTCTTCATCCTCCTAGAGGATAATGCCCAAGATAGGGATCTCACAGTGCTAGCCATTCCTTCTCCCAAGTGCCCTCCACAGTGGATGTTGCTTTTCTAGGTATTTTAAGCACCAAGAGGGATTTAAAAAAAATCAACTTAATGTCCAGCAGTAGAACTGGTGAGAAGCCCTTCAGCAGTTCTTTATTTAATGTCCCTTTGTGTATTTGAGTCACTCACTCACCGTGTATCTTGCCTTCCAGACAGGAACCTGGCAGGGAAGGATATTAAGGTATTTCCGAGGCTGACGGTAATCCCAGAACTTAAAGAAATAAAACACAGAAAAACAAGCAAAGGCAGGAATCAGCTGGCTGTACTTCCACGCTGCAGTTTTCCATGTGGCTTGCAGATATAATAGAGTGAAAAACATACCATGGTGCCCACAGCATCATTAGTAATCCCATTCACTAACAGCAGAGATGGCCCCAAAGGACAAATATCAAGCTACCAGCATCTGGCAGCATCCCTTAGACGAGTGATCTGAGGTCATATTAACAGTGATCATAGCTTGAGTAATTAGAGCAGGGAGACCAGCAGCCTGCTTGGGCTTTCAGAGCTGCAAGGCACCCTGCAGGCTCCCAGCCAATGTGCCAGTCCAGACTGGAGGCAGGCCCATCCTGCTGTTACTGCTAATTTTGTAATGAAGAACCTAACCTTTTGCTTTGCTAGAATACACATCAATTGCACGTGCCTCAGATCATAGCTAAATGTGACTGAACTGCATTTGGCTGACATACAAAGCACACAATTCCCCCCCAAGTAAAAGGCCCTGCAGAGCAGTGCTTGCAGGCAGCCTCTTAATGATAACACAGTTCCACATGAGTTTGGGAACTCCAGGGGCTGGAGTATGTCTTCCCCCCAAGTTGCTATAATCAGCTTGAGGCTGGCAATGCTGCATTTTGAGAAGGCTTTTCTGGCATGTGTGGTCAGCTACCTTCTGACAAGCAGCAGGCAGAGACAGTCGTTTTCAGCCTCACTACTGCCCAAATCACCAGAGATATGTGGCAAATATATGTGCACCCATCCTGCAGTAGCTTCTCTGCCTGTTTTGTAAGCACACCCCTGGCTCAAAACACACAGGTGTCCAGAAACCAAAAAATAAGGATCCAGAACTTGCCAATGGCAAGCACTCCCCAAGGCTTCAGCAGCAGAAAGGGATCTGCTGTACCATCCTGACATCTCCCAAGCAGGAATCCCAAAACCAACACTTACCCTGACAGAGTTGTCCTGGCTTGAAGTGGCCAGTGTATACTCATTGTCAGGATGCCAATCCAGACCATGGATTTTAGAGAGATGAGCTGCCAAATACTCTACTGCAGTGCTGGGTTTCTGCAAGGAGAGACATTTTCCTTCTCAGCATAGGACTCCTGAAACTTTGACTAGTTCTTTGGCATAAAAAGAGATAATTTAACAAGGGAGGTAGAATACCCTCCTGCTGGGGAAAGGCAAACAGTTCAGCTTGACGAAAAGGTCCCGGGAAGCTATGGCAAATTCCAGTCACCAAGTGCAGCCCTGAAGGATATTTTCTATTCAGTAAAACAGTGAAGTGTAACGAGAACAAAAGCAAAATGTTAATAGGCACAGTTTCTGGGGAAGGATGCTGTCTACATGCTCTCTTCTGGAGAAGGACGTTTTGCAAAGGCATGTAGTGACAAGACAAGGCAGAATGGCTTTGAACTGAAAAAGGGTAAATTTAGATTAGACATTAGGAAGAAATTCTTTACTGTAAGGGTGGTGGGGCACTGGCACAGGTTGCCCAGAGAAGCTGTGGCTGCCCCATCCCTGGCAGAGTTCAAGGCCAGCTTGGACGGGGCTTGGAGCAATCTGGTTTAGTGGAAGATGTCCCTGCCCATGGGACATAGCAGTTGGAACTGGATGAGCTTTAAGGTTCCTTCAACCCAAACCAGTCTGTGATTCTATGAACATGCACAGACTACTCAAAAACCCCTCAGCTTACCCTTTTGTCCCATATTCGGACATCCCCATCATGGCTTGTTGCTAAACAGTTGGCATTTTTCTTGTTCCATTTCACCTGGGAAGCTCCAGCTGCAGCACAAACACAGCAGGTCAAACCAAGCAATTATAAAGTAAATGGCACAGTAGATCACTGACCTGGGCTTACAGCTGCTCTTCTTAGCACAAGAAAGGCAGTTCAAAGTAAGGATATCCCAGAAGCTCACATGAAGAATGGCACAAAAATGATTAACTCCTAATTCCTCAGCATAGCATTTGTGTCCAAAGCAAGACAGTTCCAGTTACATGTCTAGGGATCTACATGCAGTTTCTAGATACAAGTTGCCCCCAGTTAGAATACTCATGTCCATTAACTCAGATGGAGCAACTTCTTCCAGAGAAGAACTGCAGGTTCCCCATCTCCCAAATCCCTTGTTTCCATTCAGGTTACTTCCAGGTGCTTACATATTGACTAGTTTGTCTCCCCAACATCCTCTCTACTATCTAATGCTATACAGTGAACCAGTGTTACCAGTTTATTATTTTAATACAGGTGTAGAAGGCTGTAATGCAGCGGCACCTTGTGTCTGGCCAGCTGGAGGTAGGGCTCACTGAGTGGAAGGAAGGCCCAGTTGTAAAAAACACACCACAGAAGTCAAAGACATCAACAACATTGTTGCTATTGATGGAAAGAAACTGGATAATGGTCCAGATATGATTATACAGGATATCACATGGAACTCAGTCAATAGAAGGTGAGTATTTATTTCAAAACACAGCTTCAGTTGATGTGGATTATTCAGATATTTTAAGAGAAATATGTGTTCTGACAGTATTTTCAAAATATTTTGAGGTATCAGAAAGGTGAGGTCCATAATAAAGCCAAACAGAGCTCAGCCTCCTGCTATCCCCCACCTTCTGCTGCATGGTGAGCAGATTCATCCTGACAACCTGTCAAAAAGTTAGTCAGGGAAATAAATAACAACAATAATAATAATAATAATTTAAAAAGCTGTAAATAGGCTGCCAGTTGATTGATTTGATCCATTCACTGAAGGGTGCACAAATGTTTGGACCAGCAGTAAACAGAATTGGGCATGGAAGGAAGGATGCTTTCTGGGGAGCTGCTGCTGGTTGGGTCAGCTGGCACATGGAACCTCAACCCAAGCACAAGAACTGAAGGCTGCTTTTCTCAGATTCAGGATGGTTTTTCCACTGCTGTGATGGATGGGTTTGCTGGCTGCGAGGGAAGAGGGAGACACTGCAGATATGCAGCCCAAGGAGAAATAAGCAACAGAGCGTAAGACATACACAGTGAGAGGATTGCTCTAATACTCGGGGCAGTAGCTCATGAGAAGGACATTTTGCTCATCAGCTGTGCTTCACCCAGTTCCAACACACAGCTGGTGAGGACTGACACACAGCACCTGCCACCAGGCTGTATTACAGGTGGCTGGACAGTCACCTGGCCAACAACCATGACAAGTGCCTTTCCAGAGCAAGCACAGCCCAAAGAGAGCACCTTCGTGTCATGCTGAATGTGCCTCAGGGAAGCAGAAACAGCAGGTTAATATACCCAGCCCCTCAGTAAGTAAAGGGGCAGGCTGGCAGTCAGCAGGATTCAACAGCACTGCCTGGGGTGTGATTTAGTTTCTCAGCTGATTCAAGCAAACATAAAAGCATGTGGAGATATTAAAGACAGGCAACACAGGACAAGCAGTGCAGCAGGGTGGTTAAGCAGGGAGGAAGCTATGTCTAAAAGGTACAAATACCATGTGACTGTCCACCAATTTCAGGACAGCCAGAACACACACCACTCTCCAGGCCTGGGAACCTCTAAGCACTTCACATCCCCTCTGAATTTTGCTCCTCTAAGAGTTGTGAACTGGAGCCTCTCAGGCGGCTCCTACATGGGACAATCACACATGGTGGCACTTCTGTACTCTGCCACATTCAGCCTCCGTGCATGACAGGAATAACAGCAGGGGCACATGACAATAGGCTTGTTTAATGCCTACATCACACGTACATGTTATACTTACCAACCGCAGAGAGCGAGACTGTAGGCTTCCTGGTGTCTCTGAAACACAAAATATGAGTATCCCACAGCATAGCCCAGAAGGTCCAGACTCCCTGCTGAGCTCCTTGCTATTCCATGACTAATTGTATTGCTGCCTCCTGGGAGATAACGTGTTTTCTGCTTACCAAAATACACCAGTGTTAAATGGAACAAAGAAAGGGGTGATCAGCTCTCTGACAGGACAACAGCCATCCTTGTCATGCCACCACATATCGCAGTTTAGGACACAGGATGGAGTTGGAGATGACTAGAGGGAGGAGAAACACGTGCAAAGTGTGGCATGTTGCAACTGGGCAGGCAAGAAAACTGGGCTGCTGTGGGAAGCAACAAGACAGCCTTTGCCAGGAGGATTAAAAGGACTGAACAGAGCTGTGGAAAAACTTGACAAAAGCCACTGATGTGTTTTCAAGCCTTTTCAGACCCTGATTCAAGGCAGATGGAGCAGTGACTTCAGAGCAAAGACTTCAAGTCTAGCATATAACAACAAAATCAGTAGGAAGTAAGCCCAGCTGTGTGCAGACTCTACAGACCAAATTCTGCAGTGGTAGAAGCCAGTGTGGCACCATGACAACTCCTAGCAGCCAGGACATGGATGAAGGCAATAATTTGCTCATTAACCTTGCTTCTCAGGAATTTACCTGCCCTTTCACCAAAAATGCCAGTGAAAATAAGGAACATTGTCTTCAGTTTTTTGCGTTTGCCAAAAAGCAGCACATTTTCTGGAATGGACCACACTTCTTCCCTCTATGAATTTCTGCCTAGTTATTCCGTATGAAAAATTAAGTGGGGAATTTCCAGCTGCCCTTACTGCAGCACTACCTTTCTAGGGTGTCATTAGAGACAGCCATTACAGCAGGATGTTCATTTGCTGGAGGCCAGCAGCCCCAAAACCTCATTGTTCCAGCAAGCTCAGAAACCTTACTAGCAGAGGTGGGATGTAGATGCCAGGCAGAGACTGCCTAAGCAAGCATTTCTGAACAAGTGATATAGGCAGACACAAACCTTCAGAGAACTCTATTTTTTGCTTGGCACTAAGATAGTATCACAGGAAAACACAACCAGCAGTTATTGTCTCTCTCTGTCTTTTAATTACACATTAATAATATATTGCCATTCTCAAGCACCATTTAACCAAGGATCTAAAAGCTTCATAGGAGCTAAACAAGCCTCAGGGTAGCCTGGTGCAGTGGGGTTATATAATTATCCTCCTATTACAACTGAGCAAGGGAGGCAGAGAGGAACCAAGTGACTTGCTGGAGGTCATAAAGAGTTGCTGTACAGCCAGCAAGAGAACCCAGCAGTCCCAGTGCCAGCTCCTTGCTTCTCAGATGTAAAATACATCATTATAATATTGGTGGGTTTGGGATATATAGTTGGAAATACCCCTTAACCTGAAACTGCTCATGGTAGAAAGCACCAGAAATCAAGAGAAAGCACAAACAAGAAAATGTTCCCAAATACCACTACCATTCTTCCCACCACTGAGGGAGAGCTAGCAACAATCAGTGAATTTAGAGGAAAATGGCTGCAGGATCTTGAAACAGTGCTCATTCGCTCAGCTAAAAAACCCAATAGGTTGAGGAACATCCTTAGGCTCCAGGAAAAGCTCCCAAGGGAAGACCTGAAGTGGGTAGGGAATTAAGCCAGTCGGTATTATTTCAACAGAGGAGCATGACTGTGAGTACCAGTCTGCTGCCATTCATTGACTGAACTGACTTGAAAACAGGGGAAGAGAAGTCATCTTTATGGGATGTAGACAAAGCCCCTGCAAGCACGGCTGAAAAGCAGCAGCCTTCAGTGGGTGCTTTGTCCTGCCAGCTGCTAATTATGGAAAGGAGTGCAATAATTCCCCTGTAGTGCAGAAATATACTGATTCTTACTTGATGTCCCAGACGTAGATGTATGTGTCAACAGAACTGGTGACCAGCAGGTCTGGCTCAAACACTGCCCAGTCCAGGTCACTGCAAATGCAAAATTGCAGCAGGTCAGCAAAGGCAAGCACACACAGTTTGCACCGACTTCTCACAAGCCCCCAGTACATTTCTCTGACAAATTCATAGCCACTTCATAACATCTATTTAAAGTTTCAAAGTAAAAAGCAAGATTTTAATCATTTCTCTGAGTAAATTCCAAGAAGCAATGAAATGCTTCTAAGTAAACTACCATGAAGCATCCTCCTGATCCTGAACTTTACAGCTATTATGCTTGTTATTTCCCTTATCATTGGTGGTAGTAGTAGTAGTTTTGTATTATACCTTAGTTACTGGACTGTTCTTATCTCAACCTGTGAGATTTACATTCTTGCAATTCTCCTCCCCATCCCTCTGGGAGGGGAGGGGAAAAAATGGGGGAGAGTGAGCGAGCGGCTGCGTAGTTCTGAGTTGCTAGCTGGGCTTAAACTGCGACACATGGACAGCAGCCTAAGGCAATGACACTGGAGCTATTGAAGGCTCAGTTGATATACTGCGGGCAGCCATGAGAGAGTAAGCTGCTTCACAGATGATACTGCCTCCAAACAGGAAGGCAGTATAGTCCAGAAAAGTACAAACAGGTTCAGAGCAGAGCCTGAACAAGGTGAGGACCAAATCACTCAGCTTCGGTGAAATGGTGCACTGTTTTCCACCCAGCAGACTGCAGCATCGCTTGTGTGTTCCTCACCTGATGACACGTGTGTGTCCTTGCAGTGACGTGCAAACTTCCCCATTCCCTTCCTTCCACTTATACAGGTCAACACGCTGATTGCTCTGAAATAAAACGGAAGAAAGGAGATAGTCTCAGTCAAACAAGGTAGGAATCTGTTTCTTAGAATCAGGTTCACCTCACTTTGAATGACTCCAGTTACCAAGGAGTCACAATGTCCTTGCCCAAAGCAGAAGAGCAAAGATGAAACTACAGGCTTCAAGGACTCTCAAAAGCTTACACTTTAATTACATATACTTAAACTTGGAGATAAACAAGAATGGGAAGGGGGGGGGGGAAATCACAGTGCAAAATGTTTCCATGAAATTATGTTCTTGGAGCTTTTATTTTCTAACAACACTCTACCTGCAATCAACAAGCAGACAAATTCTCTCTGCAAGAATACCCTACCAGTCTGTTAACATGAGTTTTCAGTGAGGGGAATGATGGATCACCATTGGTCCTCCTCAACTCTCTCTCACTTCCCTTCTGAGATAATGAGGGTCATTGCCAAACACAAACAATACACTCTTATGGCTTCAACGTCACTTCCACCAGTGTCAGCCCAGGGAAAAAAGCTTCTGAGTGTTTACCACTAACTGTAAACCACAGGAGCAAACCAGATGAATCAATTACAACAATATTTAGGGCTCCTTCACTTATTCCAGGAATAAATCCTCCCCCAGTGCAGCCACCCACAAAAGTTACTTGGAAGTAGCTATTGTGCTTTAAGTTCATATTCTGCCTCAACCAAGGTTCACCTCAGAGGTGAAGGCTTAGAGGTGGACTCTAATCTTTCTGGGGCAGGAATTGCCTTTTTGAGTGCATATTCAGCACCAAGCACAGTGGATCTTAGGCCACAACTGGGAATTTATGATGATCTGCAAAAACATTAACACAATCTTCATCAGCCCCTTGTTTTCAGACCTACAGGTAGATGAGGGAAAAATAGAGAAGATACTCACTTACAGTTTTTGTTGCAGTTTTTTGTGGTGGTAGTGTTTTATTTTTCTACCCCAAAACTGCTTCTTATGAACTGGAACTTGCAGATAGATAAAACACTACAGCTTTCCCTGAAGTGGAAGGTCTCCTCCCAACTCAGCAATAATATATGGCATTTCTCTAATAACTCACAGCAGGGCTGCACAAGAGCTTGGGGCAAGGAAAACTCCTTGCATGTTTCTCATTGACAGAAGGATTTAAGGGGGTGCAGTGAAATTACCTGACAGGATTTATCCAGAACTCCAGAATTGGTGCTACAAGACAAAGGATTACCAGGTCACCAGAGTGATGCCCTCAAACACATCCACACTGCTTCCAAACCCAACACAGACCTGAGCATGTGGTGTAAGTCTCCTTTCCAGTTCTAAACAAGACAGGTTAAATTCTAATCCTAGTATGGGGCTGTAACACAGCAGCACCAAAATGCCAGCCAACTGTAAGATGGATGGAAAGGAAGAGTTTCAGACCCAAAAGGGAAAAGCTGCCTGATCTCATCCTTTCCTGGGGTAATGGTTGGACTTGATGGTCTTAAAGGTCTTTTCCAACCTAGCTGATTCTATGGTCTTGGGGATTTCTCATGTGATGTATGTCAGCAAGTACATCCAAATGACCAGAGCATCTTAGCAAAGAATCACAGAATCACAGAATGGTTTGGGTTGGAAAGGACCTTAAGATCATCTAGTTCCAACCCCTGCCATAGGCAGGGACACCTTCCCCTAGACCGGGCTGCTCAAAGCCCCATCCAACCTGGACTTGAACACTGCCATTTTCATTTATAAACAGGAGCAGCAAGGTTTGATGCCACCTACACCTAGTCTCAGTCTGTAACAAGATGGGTTCCTGTGTCTCCTCAGGGCAGCAAGAGACAAGAGGGTGAGATGGGCACAGCCCTGGTTTACAGCAGGGTACTGCTCAAATCAGTGTTAACCAATCTCCGGAGATTGCCTTCAGGGTGTGTTTGAAAACAAACTTTCCTGCTCTGCTCGTGGCCTGCACAGCACATTTCATTACTTGGTTCTGATTTTCATGGACTGTATCCATAAGTGGCACTGAAGGGCACCTTTTTGTAAGTTTTACTAACACTCCACTGAGAAGCAGACAGCTACTGAAGGCACCTTTAAAATCTTAGTCAGCCATGCCAGAGCCAGGAGGAGACAGGCTGCACAATGTCAGAGAGCAAACAAATAAAGCCTCCTAACTGGTTCATTTTCAAGACTGTCTTTAATCTCAAGTTGTAAGAGTCATAAGTTAAGTGCCAGTCCAGGAAGCACAACTGTGCGAGCTCCATATAGCCTTCTAACCCTGCAGAAGTCCACCCATGAAAGACAGGGGAAGATGATGATTTATAGCTCTTAAATGAGAGAACTTACTGAAGCTGCAAAGTAGTATGCATAGCTGTCATGCGGGTTCCACTGCACTGCCCCTATGTCCCACTTGCTCTGTCGGGAGATCTTTCGGTGCCCCTCATTTGGTGCGTCCAGGTTGACTATGTAGAGGAAACGGCGGCTGCAAGACACACAGACACAAAGGGGCTGTATCACACACAACTGATCTCAAAACCCCAAGCTCACATGGATCTCAAAGCCTTGTGCCTAGAGCACCAAAGAAGAGAAGCATTTCACAAGACAGATGAAAATACTCTTCCTGAGAATGCAACATTTGACCACATACTTCAGAAAGGGCCACACTGAAAAAAAACCCAAAAGACACACTGAAATTATACGGGATCTGCAAATGTAATGGGTAGCTCTGACCACAGAAACTCTCAGATAACCAGAAGACAAAAGGAAGCACTGAGAAGTGGTGCAAGCACATCCAAATATGCTTTGCTGGCCTAAAGCTGCAGTAGCAGAGCCGAGGTGGCACACGGCCGGGAGCACAATGCAATAGCTTCACAGAAGCCAGCTTCAGTCTGGAGAGGTTGCTCTGAGCAGGAGTTAATGAGCCTTGACAAACATCAGATGATTCCGCGTGGCTGCATCCTTTCCAGACCACACTGTTTGCGGGGCTTGGTTCTGCAGACAGTACAAGCACACCTGCACAGAGCTAGCTCAGATGCAGCAGCTTATGAACAGGAGTGGACACAGCACTGCATAGATCTGGTTACGTTAGTTACATGAGCTAACCCTATATGCAGCAGAGATATGTTTGCAGGATACTAAACCTGAGTTCACACAACCTGCTGTATGTGGCCAATTCCCCACAAAGCTAGGCAAGATATCATTCCTTCCACAATGTGATTCTTCTTACAAACAAGATGATAAAGTGGCCAGAAATAATTGTGAGCCAGCTGAACTCTAATGGAAGACCAGCACCAAAACATATTGAACCATATATAGTTAACCACGTATCACATGTCAGCTGCACTGCAAACATACAGCTGCTCTGAGCATGGTGAATCCTCCTAAGAGAAGGAACATAAAGAACATTATTTGCTGCCTTTCCAGACCAAAGTCCTCAGTGCTCCTCCCTGCTCCAAAGAGCAAAGATGTTGAATCTTCTTAGGCTCTCACACAGCTTTAAAATAAAGAAGGCAAATCCTCAAGGACTGCTGAGCATGCATGAGAAGCTTGGAATGCAGAGGGTGGATGTTGAATAAGCAGACAGGCTGTCCCCAGCTTGCTGTTGGCCCAAATAAGCAAGCTTTGAAACTGGTCAAGTGTAAGGATGAAGAGGCATCAAGTTAGACCCAAACCAGCTGCTGAGCTAGCTATTCCTGCACAGGGCTGCTGGACTAAGGGTTTACATGGAAGAAAGCAGGCCTCCAAGTTATACCAAAGGATCTGTTTCCTCTTAAGGCTGACCAAAGGTCAGCTGAACCCACACAATCTGAAGTGACTATCCTAATCAGTGTGGTAATTGTGTCATTGACAGTGGGACAGGAATAGCTGTTGGTACTGAAAGGCAGCAGCTGGGCAGGCAACTGCTGAGCTGGTTGAAGATTTGCCCTGGGGATGACTATGTAATGCCAAGCTCTCCCAGGACCTCCGGCAGCTTGGCACCTACTGCTCTTGCTGAGTATCATCCTGCACTGAACTAGCAGAGGAGCAGGTCAGAGCTTGGCTCTCCTGCCCCAGTAAACCATCAGAGTATTTGTGGCAAATTTTGTATTGAGAAAATTATTAAATCTGTATTTCAAGCAGAATCCAAACAGTAGTTCTGATGCTCCACCTCCTACAGGTGGATTTGAGAAAGCACATATGAGGAAAGCCAGGACAGTATTTTATTGTGATGTTGTTGCTGGCTTTCCGCTCTGTACACCATTGGAAATGTAACCCAGAACCTTTTTCATCAAGCTGTGAACAGAATTCAGCTGCACCTTTCTGAAACAATGTATCAGCCCTTCAACTGAGGTCAACCTGAAGGCTGCTGATTTGGCTTGTGGAAACGACTGTCGTAAGGTTCTAAAGGGGTTTCTCACACTCACCCTGAGAGCACTGCATGCTGTCCCAGGCAATCCACTGACATCGCAGTCGCCTGTTAAAGAGAAGCAGAGAACAAAACTAAATTATATCTGTCAGGCCAGCTTCTCAGCCAGACACACACCTTTGGGGAGGACCACAAGAAAACCCGCCAGCCTATCTTCAAGGTATAAACTGCTCCGGTCAGAGTCAAGGCTGATAGTGGTCAGGAACGGTAGAAGTAACAGCCCCTTAAAGAAGCACAGAAGCATGATGGGGCGTAGCAGTTGATTTTGGGACGTAGGACAGCACACAGAGACATCTTTGTTAAACTGAAGACAAGACCTGGAAGACACCATTACATGCACTGAGATCTTGCTCCCTTCTCTCCACTGTGGCAATCACAGATGCAGCCTTTCAATCAGCAATCTCTAATAATCTGTATTAATCAGCCTCTGCTCCCGCTCAGGAGCTTTCTCAGTCTTCCCCCTCTTCCATTGCAGGGCCAGATTTAATTATATATGTTCTGGGAGACAGAATGCAATCATTTGTGTACAGCTGGTCTCCAAAAATGAAAGATGGCTAAGAGGCATCAGAATTTAATTTGGCATTGCTTGTAAAGAAGGCCAAGAGATAATTTAAATGCCATAAGAAGAAAAAAGAATAGACTGCTTGAACATTGTCTCCTCTCTTTTTGTTCAGAATGGAATTGAAGGATCACCTCATTTAATTGCCAAGAGAATAAAGGAAAATTTTACCTGGAAAGCCAAACAGTTCAGCCCATAAACACAGATATGACTTCAACGCAGATTTTAGCATTTACAGTACAAAAATCAGACTATGCCCCATTTTCTTCAAACTAACTGCTGTCATCTTCAAAGCTTCCTCTCTGAAGGCTCAGGATGTCCCTGCTGCTGTTCAGGATTCTACTAAGTTCTCTCAGTGTGGATACATCAAGACAAGATGTCCCATAACTACTACTTATAAAGTAGACAAAATGGCAATCCCATTCCAATTCCATCAGATGTGACAGGAGAATAACCATCACAAAACCCTACTTTTTTCCACCAGGGTTCCATCCCCAAATTCCAAGTACCCCAACTAAGGGAAAAACAGCTTCACATGCTAGAGATCATGAGTCCACATGGCAAAGAGCTACAAATGCACGCAGAGTTTCAGCAGGATTCTGCAGTAAACCCCACAGGCTCACATCTATACCCAATCAAGCTGCTTTTGCTGTCCCAGGAACGACCTGCTTTCACTGCTTTTTCCTAGGTAACAAATCCAGTCTTCTGGCAAGGTCCTCCTAGTCCTAAAATAATGCTGTAAAGAAGAAGCTGGTTTTAAAAATCTCTAAATGGTAAAGAAAGAATTCCAGTTTCCTACATTTCATAGCACCTTGCAAAACAAAGTGGGTTCCTAAATTTACTTAAAAAAGGCATGCAGGAGGAAGAAATTTTCCTAGACACACTTCTGAGGAATTAAAATGAGGACTGCTAAAGCCATTACTGGAACCAGAACTTTCTCACATGATGAACAGCCACTCAGCTGACATATTCCATACAGCTGTGGCCATCTTTCCTCAAGACAGAAGAAAAATATCAATTTAACGTGATAATTTCATATACAAGTTTATTTTTCCTCGTGTTGGCACCAGGATATCATAAATCCTTACAAATTGGTTTTTTATAATGAACATTGGTAAACTGTTTTTCCAGGCACCAAACATCATAAAATGCAATGAACAATCAGAACGAAGTAAAAAGCTTCATGTGTCAGACTGCTACTCTGGCAGGTCACAAATGAAGTAATTTTACGGCAACAAACAGTTCTCTGCAATACTACAGTCTTACCTAAGCAAGAGAAAAAACAAAACAGAACAGCTGTCATGTAATATGCTTGGTGAATTGCTATGTCAGTCTTCGCAGCATAAAGCTGCAGAAGCAGGAAACCGAAACTGAACAAACTGACCTGAAAGCAGCTTTTATCCCAAAACATCAGGATAGCTATAATTGCTGTTTATGAGTAACAATTACATGAATAAGCACAGTAGGAATACTGCACATTTGAAAACAAGTTCTGAGCCCACAGCCCAGCTAGCATCTCCTCAGACTTCAAATGTCACTTGATTTCTGCTAGCCAAGCCAGGAAAAACACCCTTTCATGTCTGAACTTCTGTTAGTTTTGAATCCAGCTTCATTTTCTTCAACTGAAAGGCAACAGACCAACCCAATTTGCCAAGGCTACACTGGTTTTCAAGAGGTACAAATTCTTACCATACCTAGCTTGTTATCTATACACTGAGTTGCTATGGTACTATTTCACTGTTGGATATGGTAAGCTTTACTGTCCTTTTGATAGTACAGGCAGCCAGACAAGAGCCTGTGGGTCACACCTAAATCAGAAGAGCACAGAGACTGCCCCCTCTGTCAGCTTGTACAGCAAGATGACACTTGTAGGCAGTAACAGCCCCAAATTACGCAGAGATTTTCTTAAGTGTTCACAGGTTGGGTCCTTTAGTTGTTCAACATGCCACAGTGTGTCATGTGAAAAGACAACTGCTGTGCTTGCAGAACACATATGGGCTATAAATGTAACTGCTGCCCACTCCTTTGACTCTCGTTCCCATTTAAGTTGGATTTGGGGTAGGGATTTTGCAGACAGTGTGGCCTACAGGCAGAGCCCAAGCCTGGTACAGAATGACACAACCAAGCTGTTACAGTTTGCCAGGCTCGGGTTTCCCATCTGCAAAAATGTTTACGCAGACCCCTAAGAAAAGCTCAAGGACAAACGTAAGTGAGTTTAGCTTGAAGCAGTAGCCTAGCAGCCACTGCAGCTCTCTGGTTTCATATGAGAGAGCAGACAGGTCAGAACAGCTCTAGAAAGATCTCACCAGAGTGAACCAAAGGGACCAAAATACCCGTGGTTAACCTCTCTATTGAGGTATATGCCTGCACAATAGCAGGACTGAAACTAACTGCTGCAGAATAGGATGGAAACACTTGTGTTCTCCCCCTCACATACCAGTCATTATGAATAAGCAATCAAGTCAGGCCACACATCTCCTGAGCCAGATGCAATCTGAATCTGTGATCTAGGAAGACATACAGGTATCTAGGAAGATAACACCTCTGTGTATCACTACCTGTTTCCTGAGAACAAATATTCAACAGCAGGCAAAACTGCTTTAACATTTCTTACAGGAAGAAAACAAAACCGATATAAAGCTTTTGAGGTATAAAAGCAAGAGGCTTTGTGATCTTAGAGGGTAGGCTGGATCCAGCACAACAGGATTCCATGCCCCTACTTGCGATGGTAAACGCAGAGCTGACATTGCTCCAGCACAAGAGGAGAAACTAGAGAGTTTGAAGACCTATCTTCTCTAATCTTTTTGGGCTTCCTGCTGAAGCTGCTCATAGTTTACCCACCATATCCAGCTGTGCTAAGCAACCCCATGCTTCTCAGAATAGCTTCTAAGAGAGCACATAAACAAACTCTGAGGTAAGCTCCCTTGTAGCCAGCAACTTCAAAACTGAAAGCTGACCTTTTTGCTACTTATAAGAAAAAATTATCGAGCAACACCCAACAACTTATATTGCAAACGAGAAAGGAGCTATACAGGTCCCAGAGGAAAAAAGAGGAGATGTGTGGGAACTGGTAATCTCTTCTATTAGCCCTGACTTTATACTTCAAAAAAATGTAAAAGATCTAAATAAGATTAGAAATGGAGTGCCTCATCTTGCATCATTAATGCCTCATTAAGGCATTATCTCCGCGCAAACGGCTCCGAGGCCAGCTCAGTCCCGTCAGTCTACAGCCGGCGAAATGCCCCGCGGGGCGGCCGGGCCCGTGTA